CATAAAACATAAACTCGAATTTTACGCAGGTCACAGATCTCAAACTTTTATGTTTTGGTAGATACAGGTATTCTCAGACGACCACCCTATCTCCTAGCAGATACTTTTGGGAATGCCAAAAACACATGCCATATAGACAATCGAATGCACTGATCATCCTGGCAATGTTTATTTTCCTGTGGAGATCAAAGGGAGTTCGACTAGGCCGTTTTCGGAAAATTCGAGTTTATGTTTTAACTAGGCCGTTTTCGGAAAATTCGAGTTTATGTTTTATGTCGTGTGTTTATGTCTTAAAGTCTTGGCTACAAAATGGTGAAAACCACAGGTTTCTACCTCTTTTCTATCAAAAGTTATTCAAAAAATATCCACTGCTCTTGTATTTTGAAACGGATACTAGTTTTAGGATATCGTAAAATTATTTAAAACCGGACGAACGTTTAGCCCAGATTTCTGGAAACATAAGCTTGTTGTCCAATTTAGGACCTGTGATCATTCATTCCAAGTGTTCAACTGGGGGATTAGTTAATAGGTCTTGATACGAGTGTTTAAACTACGGGAAAAACGTTTGTTTTCTCTGGAAAAATCAAGCACATTCCATAAAAACCATATTTAATCTTACTTTAATTAACTCATATTGTTGTCTATCGTGTTCGAAATACTTATCCAATTGTTCCAGCAACATATGTTTCAATTTATTCAAGGTATGATCATCTCGTGTTGGTTCTTGTAAAAATTCTTTTATATTATGTATTGCAAAAAACGCCATACCAACTGTTGCATAATGTGAACCACTTAGCAATTTTGTTCCTTCATAAAATGGTTTCAACACCATTTGAATAGATTCAAGCACATTCCAATCATCACTGGATAATTCATTCAGTGTCATTCGTGTTTGTTGTTCAGTTTTTATATCGATCAAATGTTGATCGGCAAACAATTGATGCATCACCGGTTTATGTAACAACATTATTTCTACCATTAATAGAGTACTATTCCACCGTGTGATGCAATCCAACTGTAAAGATCTTTTAACATTATATTGCAACTTCAAATTATTAACATATGATGTTACAATGGAAGATCTTTTGATAATTTTAACCAAATTTCTAACTTTTTGTATTATTTCACCAAGTTCTTTTTTTTCATTTAATATTGAATCTTAATTAAAAAACAACAAATTTCGTGTAAAATTCTCAAGTATACACTCAAATATCTTAACGAGTGGGCAGAATAAATGAGTATTTTTGTTTCTTATTTTCCAGTATGTTGCTAGATGTATAAAAATTTCCAAAGTAGGCTCGTTAGATGGAGAATTTAATTTTCTACGAAACCTGCTAATTAAAACTTTAACCAGATGGTTTTCTTTCTAACAGTACTCAAAATACGTTGGGCATCGATTTTATAAACTACCAAACTCCCCAGGTCCCTCTTTGATTTAACGAAGGCCAACGTTACATACCATTAGAATCTTCATTCTCTGCATCTACTATAACATCAACAGCCCAGGTATCATTCTCATTTTCTGCCGTTTGAATTTCGCTATCATCAATTTCATTGTCTGAGCCTCCCTCCTCTTCCACATCTAAATCTTCCATACTCATTGCTCGGATACTGTCATTCCGTGATTTCACTATAACAATAGAAAGAATTAACAGTAAAAATACCTTAAGTGGGTCCCCCTATTTAGATTTGGTTTAAACTTTGCCAGTTTATAGAGGACACTTCGAAATATATATGAAAAAAGTTTGGAAGCTTACAGGCCTGTAGTTTTCTATAAAAAACATTTTAATTTTTTTCGCTCTTTTTTATCCATATAAATAAAATTTTCACTTTTCAGTTTGAAACCTTAGTTTTGTAACCAATAGATAGAGTATGTCGAGATGTATGCGTAAAACGATTTTCATTGTTCCCGGACAAAGTTTTGCGGAGAGATTCGAATTTGAACTCGAGAATGTTTTTGAGGGGCAAAAAATTTGCTTTTTCGAAATCTTGCCTGCAGATTCTCTGCGGGGAAGCATTTTGGAGCAGAAATGTGAGTGTAAAAATTGTTTATCATGGTTTTCTTCTATGGGATAATACTTTGCTGTCGTTAAATTTCTTAAGCTCAATCTTTAAAATTCAAAACACTCAAACTCTGCACTGCGGAGGAAAGAAAAGGCGCCTAAATTTTGGGGATACTTTCTCTTTACTTTCTGAGCTAGACGAAAGTGTGCCAGAAAATCTGAGACTCTTAGAACATAGACATTTTCACATTTGGAATCGAACGGAATTGTCAAAAATGGAAAAAATAAGGCCTGTCAGGGCCGGTTTTTTAGAGTCCTAGAGCGCAAAATCGTCCAGGACCATGAACCAAATTCCGCTTCAGGGAAGTATTTTGAAGGAAAAGTATGGGAACAAAAGTTGTTTAGCATCACATTCTGCATCGGTGAATCCAGTGAATTTTCGAAATTCGTTAAACTCGATTTTAAAATTTAAGAATACTATTTTGAAAAATTTGAAATTTCGCAAAGTGTAATTTAAAAATCGAGTTTAACGAGTTTTGAAACTTCTCTCGACTACCCGGTGTAGGATTTGATTTGATTAATTTTTTGATACAAACTGGTGGAAAACCCCAAGTGGAAGAAAAAAAGACCCTCCTTAATTTAAAAGAAATTAAACTATACATACCATCAGAACTATCACTTGTTTTTTTCTCTTTTTTTGATTTTGCCCAGAGACCAATACCATTACACACAATTAAATGAAATTTATGGCCCAGACATTGGAGACGTTGAATAGATGGATCCAATTGTTCAAATGATTTCTTTACGTTGGAAGCACCGTCACATGTAATTGTTCTTGTTTTTTCATAAACAACCAACTGTCTTAATTGATTTTCAATAGCTTGAGCTATATTATATCCAAAATGTCTTTCACTGAACGACGAAAAACTAATGATGGTATTTTTTAATCGAAATTTCTTGTCGACATAATGTCCCGTTAAGACTAAATAAGATACGTTACGAGCATCTGACCAGAAATCAGACGTAACTCCAAGAAAATCAACTGATCTCAATTGTTGTTTCAATTTTTGAGTTGCTGATTGTCGCAGCCGTTTCAAGTTTTTCTGAACTGTATTTCTGTGAGGTGGTCGAAATCCTAAAGAATGGTCACGGTTAGAAACAGTTGGATACTTCAAAGAAAAATGGAGTTTGAGACAAGATTCAGAAAGAACTGAAAATTGTTGGGTCGTACGGACAAAATCATAGATGTAATTTAGGATAAAAGAATATTTTTCAACATGTTTCTGTTCGAACTTCTGAGCTTTTAAAAAGGAAGAGTTGTCTTCTAATTCTTATCAAAGGAATCCGTCTGACTTACCCGGAGCTATTGCATCAAATAATTCACATAGGCCAGGTTTGGAAAGATCACCAAAAGAACGACCGTCTTTCACCACACATTTAATGGCGATTTCATTTAAACGACGTTTTCCACTTGGTGAATATTTATCTCCTGATTTTAATTTTGTATTTGGATCGGATGTTTTGGGCATGAATTCTTGTATGCCATGTTTATAAAATAAATGTTTTCTTATTCCAGTTGTATTTCCACCTTTTCTCGAATATTCACGACTGCATAATTTGCATTTTGCTTTGTGCGCATTATTTGGAATTTTATCCACATGATACCACACTGATAATGTATCAGTTGTATTTGTTTCATTATCATTATTTACCAGTGCTATTGAAGTTGTTGGCAATTGTAATTGATTTGTTGTTATGGTGGTGACGGTTGAAGAACTGGAGGATGATGGTAATAATTGATTTGTGGTTGCTGGTATTATAGTTCCCGATGTACTTATTGAAGGAGCCGAAGGACTACTGTCGAGATCATCGCCGCCATCGTCAAGACCAGCTAACGCAGCTGTAACACGTTTGGTAAATTCGCCATTTGGCTTTTGCTTTTGTTTTGTAGCTTTTGATGTTGTTGATTTTGATTTGGTATTGGCACCATTCCCATGTGGGGCCATTGGTTAAAACCACCTGCAGGAAAAAGAGAAATTATGATTTATTAATTAGGTGTATCGAGCTATCAAGTGCCGTATTTCTTAACATACGATGCAAAAGTCTTTGCAAACATGTCGAGCATTATATCTGCATGTTCCTGATGCACTGGCGATTTAATTGTTTTTCCGTTAGAAAGAGCAAAGTCTGAACTTCAAAGAACATAGAAAACAAAATTTTTTGTAATTGAGTTTGAGAGAGAAGAAATCTAAATACGAAACGCCGCCCAACAAGCTCTTGCAACTTCCACTCTCTTGAAATCTATCGCTCTCATCAAAAGTATTTTTTCACTATAGCAGAGTAAGTTTGAAACTATGTAATTATAGAAACTAGAAGTGTTTTTATTGCTCTTTTGAATCGGATGTGATAAATTATCTTTCGATCTGCTTTCAATTAGAAATTCGCGAGTTTTTCATTTGCTTCAGAAAAAGAGTTGATTAGACTTAATTAATAATTTTCATATACTAAATGAACTTTGTCCTCTTGCTAAAACACATCTTCTTAAACAGCATTCAATTCCCTGCAAGGTCACATTAGTCTTAATTTTTACTGATACATCTTGAGCCTTACATAACAAATTTTCACAATGTCGTGCCTTTCTCATGAAAAGTACAGTTTTCTACCAAATATGACTTTTGTAACACGTTTCTTTTACTATTAAGAAATTATTGAGAAATTCTCGACAGTAGATGGATCAATACAGTTTTGCGCAGGCGACATTCTCATCTATTTAGTTTTCAAAAACATTTTTCTCCTCAGGTTGCAGTGAAAAATTAAAGAAAAAAGTGCTTTGCAAGAGCATTTTAGGCGACGTTTGATATTTATTTTTTTTCTCACTAAAACTTAATTACAAAAAATTTTGTTTTCTATGTTCTTTGAAGTTCAGACTTTGCTCTTTCTAACGGAAAAACAATTAAATCGCCAGTGCACCAGGAACATGCAGAAATAATGCCGACATGTTTGCAAAGACTTTTGCATCGTATGTTAGTTTGCTTAGAATGAGTTAAGTCGGGCCTACCGAGCAGATCAACGAGGTTGCTGCCTTTAAAAAATACGATGAAGGGTCCTTTTCCGTGCCTCTATTGGGTTTTGGCTATTTCTTCAAGATATTAGCCCTTGGTACACTTACCGTTCGGAGATCACTAAGTTAAATATACAATACAATGATAAGCTTGACTCGTAATAACTATATGGATAATCTAAAATATGAAAAAAGAAAAGAAAGTGGTTAGAAGA